GGGGCCACGGGGGCCACGGGGGCCAGCCCTTCATTGATCATGTTACTAATCCCTAGTCATCCAATACATTTACATGCGCGACTGATCCGATCAGCAGCGGAGGCCGTGTGGCTCAGAGACGCACGCCAGCAGGCAGCTAACAAGCGTCACTGTCACAAACTATTAGCGGCGACAAGTATCAGGGCTTATCTCCGGGCCGCATCTCCAAGGTGTCGGGCGGGACGGGCTCCGGACCGGATGCTGATATCAGATATTTGTATTCTTCTCATTTTTCCGCATTAGCGTCGCCCTGCTTGGACCGGCGGGGTCACACCCCTCTTGTGTAGGGGGCCCTCCTCTCGTCACGCCATGTGTGCGACTCTGCCAATTCAAGAGTGTGGCACGGCCCCGGCTATTTCGGAGTCAATCTGTCACAGAACGCCACACGTTAAAAAATAACGCGTTCATGGTCTCAGCTTCCTTGGTTTTTCGTACAAGAGTTAAATGTCAAAGACTTGCAATGCTGTAAATGTTGAGTTGTGATTCGAGAACCGAGATGCCGTTGCGTTGGGCGTGGCTGCGTGTTAAGCGTTGAGCCCCCACCCCCCGCGGGGGGGCTCTCGGGGTCCCAACGCGACACAATGCCGTTGTCAGACCCGATTTACATTCGATTTATCATCGCGTTGTTTGAACGTGTGGCTATCTTCGCGCGCGGGCGGAGGCTCAGTTGTAACGATAATATATAAAGAAAAACAAGTTCGAGTATGGAAAATTGTTGTGGCCTGATGGTGATCAGTCACGGGCATGACCCCGGGGGCACAGCCGTGCCAACAGGTTCTCCTCCTACGAGATCACTCGACGCCCGTATTATTTTGTTACTTTTCTCTCTTTTCTACTCCGCCCCTTCCCTTTCCGCACCTATATACCTGCACGGCCCTACCCGTATAACCTCCTTCTTTTTTTAACCCTTTATATCGCCCGTTGCCCCCGCAGCAGTCGGCCCGGGGCCACCCGGGGCCCCGCCCGCCTCGCTAGCGCTTCCCCGAATCAATGACTAAGTATTGGAATCTGTGATTTCACCTTCGAGGTGGGGGGTGCCGTGCCCTTGGCTTTTTATGGTGGTGTGTTGATGGATAGTCAGACACCTCGTGTGCAATCCTCTCTCTCTCTCTCTCTCTCTCTCTCCCTCTCTCTCTCTCGCTGTGTGTGTGCCGACTCACGCTATTTATGTTATTTGCATCGGGATGAGTGACAGTGGGTTTGGATGACAATATAATCCTCTCCTCTGACCAATTTCTCATAGTGCGCTAGCCTGAATCTTCAGGTGTATGTCCTCAGCGTGAGTCACACTAAGAGAGAGAAGAGGGGGAAGAAATAGAGAACCGGGAGTACCCACCTATAGCGGGCTGGTTGGTTACCTATTGAGGGCTCAAGTTACTCTCGCCCTTCTGGAACTCCTCACCACCACGGCGCGGCGGCTGGCTGCGGCGGGTGACACACTCGGGAGGAGGCCGACACGGGTTGACTTTCCTCTCTTCGAATAAGCCGAATAAGCACTCGCCGCGGGGGCAGGTCAGAAGAGAGAGAGAGGGAAAGAGAGAGAGAGAGAGAGAGAGAGAGAGCGAGAGAGAGAGAGGAGGGAGACGGGGCAACTGTCGTGTTGAATAGGCCCGCCTTGTCGTGCGGCCAATCGGCGCCCGTGATTGATCGATGGGGTGTTCTGCTGTGTGCAAGCCGTCACAAAAGGACCCCCCCCCCCCTCTCTCTCTCTCTCTCTCTCTGGCCTACCCTACCTCCCTCCCGGTGCGGGTGTGATAGACATCCTATAAGGATGGCTCTATCATCGTGGCCGCGATATGATTAGGACCCTCCTCCTCCCCCATCACCATTACGCGACGCTTTTCCGCCCCAAAGCTGTGTTGTTTGCTTATTTACGCCGGTGATCGATTATTGGTGCCGATCGGGACCTGCGAGCGGAACTAATCAGAGTGAAGAGCGATACTCATTCATCTCCTCGAGCTGCTGTTGGGGAAGCGGAGGAAGATGAGGACACGGCGGAGGAACGGTCGTGGTTGCGTGTGGTGCACTTTGCGCGCAGCACTGACCTTTTATATAAACTAATCGTGTGCGCCAGCTGGGTTTGGTTTGTGTGGAGTGAGCAGGTCTCGGTGTGGAAGCACCAGCACCTGCCCGCAGGCGGGGCGTGGCGGCGGCGGCGGGGGCAGCCCATGGGGCAGCCGCAGCACACGATGACGACGATGACCACTGTGTCGTAAATCAATAAATATTAATGCTGCCCCTCCAGCGCCGCACCGCATCTCGCCGCGCTCATTAAAGGGATTAAGCAACTGGTTCCGCTTTTGTAATAGTTTTCATTTTACACTTGCCTGCTTCCGTTCTGTTTGACCTC